GGAGATCGGTATTATATTTGGTTTATTTAAGCGTACCAGCTTTTGTTATTGCTGTTTGAGTTTGATTTGGGTGAGTTTTATTAAAGCTTATAGCACGCAAAAAGTCAAAATTGTAGCTTTTTTTTATATTGCTTAGATGGATGGACGAGCTCACAGCCCAGCTGGTGTTAAGTGGTTACTGGAGCCCATAGACATCTACAACGTAAATGCGCCACCCACCTTGAGATATAAGTTCTAAGATCTCAGTATAGTTACAACGGCTACCCTACCCTTCAAACCGAAACGCATTACTGCTTCACGGCAGAAATAGGCAGGGCGGTGGTACCTACTCGCGCGGACTCACAAGAGGTCCTACCACCAGTCAAGTAGAAGCTTACTGAATCAAAGTGTAAATAGTTGTTGTTAAATGCGTGCTAGCTGTGATGCCCTCAAAGTAATATATTTAAGTATCTTCACTGAATCTGACCCATTGACACATTGCTCAGTAAGCAACACAGACGATTCAACATTCGAAATCGACTCTAATTCACATTCTTCTCTACTTTTGTAAAATATTGTTTGAATCCTAAAATTTTTATCTAGTGTGGCTATTAATAGTGCTGGAATTCTTCGGACATATTGCTCGTAAAGAGGGTCACAATCTTGAACAGCTGATGGTGACAGGAAAGGTAGATGGCAAACGTCCCAGAGGACGCAGTCCTACGAGATGGTCGGACCAAATATGATCTTCTCTGGACATCAACTTCCACAATGCCCTTCACAAAGCTAAGGATCGTAGAAGATGGAGGGAAATCGTACGAGAGAAACTGATGCGGGGGGGGAGTCACGACCCTCAATAATGAGGAAGACGACGCGAGGAGGAGTGGCTATTAAACATACTTAAATAATTAAATATAGTCCACTATATCATTAACGTCTGTACAAATTCGAACAATGTATAATAGTGTTGTGAAACAAAAACTCCGAAGATACGAGACTAATTTCTAAAGTCCATTTTTTTTTGTTTAGTGACTATCGGGACTCTAAGACATCAATCACTACGTAAATGCCGCCGTCTAAGGTCTAAGTCTCAATTGTTTAGTATAGAGACTTATTTTATATGGTAACAACATAGGTTAGTATTTTGTAGCCAGCCTAACATTTGCTAAGTCCGTGATTTGTATAGTGCTAGCCTTTAACTGGCCGTGAAGTATCTTTTCACTATGTTGAGGACCCTAACGTTTCCTACTGAATACTACGGTTTTCGTTTTCAAATAAAGGCTGATGTAAACACATTTGCCAATGCCAATTAATATATGCAATTTATAGTACACACATGTTATTCTTGAAAAAGATTATCTTTTTTTTCTACCTAAGCTGATAGCCTTGAGAGGCTATTTCAGCGTAACCTTAGCTAGTAGGTGTCTCACGGGACTCAAACCGGAGTGATGCTAACACTGACCCTAGCAAGAGCAGTGCTTCGCAGAATCTACCACCGGATCGGAAACACGACCCACTGGGAAGATCTGGCGAGAAACTCAGTGGGCTGTGTCTATGGGTTAATTCGCTCGTCGAGCCCTTCGTCGCAAGTGACGGGTTCGACGAGGACGGTGACCAGTGCTTGTGGTACCTAAAAGCACCGTTAATGGATCGGGAGGATCCGTAATGCCGTGTTTTGGGCGACGTCAACTGTTTACTATTCGGTCTACAGGATCGGGTATGGTAGATTGTCAGTAAATGGGTCCTTAATGGATGAAATTAAATTAAGTCCAATTTACGAATAGCTAAGAGAGCTTCAAAAACATTTTTTTCTTGGCTTTTCCCAAAGTGCTGTCTTAAGAAGCCTGTGGTCGCCTATTATTAAAGATATATCGGATATTTATTAATATATATCGGATTTTGTACGTGCTATAATTATCTTAAGAAAGCCTACCAATAATGGACAGCTTCATATAAACTTCGTTTTCTAGTTCAGGTCTCATTATAGACCATTGAACGAAGATGGGTGCCGTGCTGCAAATTGACTACGCCTCATTTGGCCACTAAGACCTGTGCACCAGATATTCTGCTCATAACTGAGATTATCGAATAGTATATTATGATATAGGAGTTTAAGAAAACTATGGTCACGATCAACAGCGTATCCTAATTCAATGTCTAAGAAGTCCGCTTTGGATTAAACCGTAAACATTGTTCCTGCAATAATTCAAATAGGTATTTTAAAATTCTCCGCTTACAATTAAAATAGTTAAATTTTGTAGGACATATTGTGAGTCAGTGTTTTGTGTATACATATCGACGCTTGAAAGGCAAACGTGACTAAGCGACAATAACTGCTTAATACATAAATAATAGGCAATAATCATATTCAATGCGCAAAAAATATATATTTCTAGGTCTATTAAAATAATTTCAATCCTACAGCTAGATTCGTTAAAATAGACTTTTTTTTTCAGGTATTTCAACTTTAAATTAGTCTACTGTAAAGTTCACGCATTGTCGCTTAGTCACGTTTGCCTTTCAAGCGTCGATATGCACGACCATCCTGCCCGTTTCCGTAGATACCGCAGAGCAGTTTTCGAGGAATAATGAATGTCTTATAGGTATGTACACACATACATAATTATTATATCAATTGTTTTTAGTTATTTTTTTCATTAAATACATATTTTTATTTAATATATTTACTGCTATTGTAAAACCACAATTACAGCGAATTCGAAGGGAATTCCGAAACGAATATATCATGTGTTGGTTACACAGATAAAAACTGATAGTGGTCGAATGTTTGAATGTGAGGAATAATTATAGTTTTACTTGCTCCGATTTGCAAATTTTCTTTCAATATCATTTTACAAATCTCGCAAGATTTTTTTTGGCGTAGAAAGGTGAACGTGCTCATGGCCCTCCTGGTGCTAAGCGTTACCCACGGACATCATGTTATTATACGAATGCCACCTCCCATCTTGAGACTCGAAATCTGTGTCTGAACTGTATAGCAATTACGCAAATTTTATAATTATATAAGTTTTATTTTTATAACAAGATGCTTTTCTTTCATCGTAGAAGTCATGTCTGTGTCATCATCATCAAATCACGGAGTATTTGTTTATAATATTTTTAATTATAATTAACATACTTTTACAGTAAAATCTTGCGGTTTTTCATTTAATTTTATTAATTCTGAAGTTATTCGAATACTTCACAATCTTCTTAGTCACGGACAATTTTGGCGAGTTGTGGACGTAATTGAATTATCAATTGATTAAATTACAATTATGTCTATGAGTCGCGTAATCCGAAGCAAATATACTATACAAAAAAAGACGTCAGTTTCAATATTGAATGAATTGTTATTTCCAAATGAAATAGTACTTGATAGTAAATATTCAGCTGGAGCCTCAAGATATATGTACATAGATCCAATAATACATTTATGTGATCTTGGGAAATCATACACAACTTTCATTGGCTTGCCCTATGTCTGTGTATACACATGTAAAGAAATATTTTAATTTAATTTGAACAAATTTCACGACGTTCGTTTAACTTGAGAACACTTTTTGAACCAATAACGATAGAACAATTTTATTTCATTGGCCCAATATCTTGACTAGGGAATCTGGAATTAAGTCTGCATTTCTATCAAAACGACTTATTTAAGTATTTCAATTTTATTTTTTTCTTCCCCTTTTAGGCAGACGAGCATACGGCCCACCTGATGGTGAGTAGTTACCGTCGCCCATGGACTTCAGCAATGCCAGGGGCAGAGCCAAGCCGCTGCCTATCTCATAGCGCTCGGGAAACACCGTGGAATTCATCATAAGCTCACATAGATCCACTACTGTATACAGGCTTTTTTCCAAGTTTCACTACAATTCTGCTCTCATCCAGCGGATTCTCGCGATCTTCAACAGGTCGTCAGTGCAAATTGTGGAAGGTCTTCCCACACTTCGTCTTCCGGTGTATGGTGGCCAATTGAATTTTTTTTTGGCCAAAACAGCTAAATGTCAAAGGTCAAATCAAGAAAAGCAAAGTGTCAAAGGCTTACGAGTAATGACCCTCACTCATTGCCACTTCAATCAAGGGTATGTCTGTTATCACGGTTCTCCTGCGAATCTCCTCATTCTTGATTCAATCTTGCAGAGAAACTCCGAGCATAGCCCTCTTAATTTCTCTTTGGGTGACTATGGTCATTTTAGTAGTCCTAATGAGCCTTCATTGTCTGCTTGTGAGTATTTAAATTTATTTTTTATTAAATTCATTCCGCACTTAGCATTTGTGTAATCGAAAGCTGCGCGACAATAACAAAACTGTACATGACATCGATTCTGTAAATTTGTAAACTTGACTACGTAATAACCAGTGGTAAAGCATATTGTACGCCCTGGTACTTAATCTGACCTATTTCTGCTGAAATTATCCGAATTGTCCATATATACTCATATTGTTGTTGATACATGCTCAGATCTAGGCGTTCATGCGTCAGAAAAAATCCTTACAAATATAAATTTTAAACTCCCGTAACTAGTTCTCTAATTTTTTTATTGTTAACACCGTTTTTTTTTTAAAATAATTACGAAGATCTCTTTGTGAAAATATCAAATTCGCAAATGCATACAAATGAATAAATAATAGGTAAATATTTTATTATCTAAACTATTTCATTTTATTTACTATCTGGATATGACCACTGCAAGTATCGTGTAGTTTGTGGTGACTATATGATAAGAGGTGGATAGAAAGGAAAATAATTTTGAAAAACAGTATAAAAAGCTAGTGTTTGGTTTGTTTTTCTCATTACATTGTGGCCCTCGCTGGAAAAGACGTTATTTTCTTTCGGAGTAAGTTGCTATTTGCATTTCAATAAACTAATACACTACATATTTAAGGCTACGGAGCAGTGTGTTTTATACTCCTTTAGCGTCAACATTCTCACATCATCTTTGACCTATAGTAAAATATAACCTAATTTGTTTCAGGCAATTGAATCTAACAGGAATATTGAAGACCTAATCAATATGAGTGGTCTACGATCCGTTCAGGTAGTCAATGTGAATGACAATCACAATTATGTGCTTGAAGATAACACACTCCAGAGAATTTTACTGCGTGAGGATGTAAAAGATCTGCCGCTGGTGGTGGTTAGCGTAGCGGGCGCCTACCGCGGAGGAAAGTCCTTCTTGCTAAGCTACTTCCTCCGCTACCTCAACTCACCGGTATTTATCACTTTATCTTTATTTTTTAATAAAAATTATAATTAGATTGTTGAATATCATTTGTCGTTATTGTTTTGAATTTTTTCGAATATATTAAAGATGCTTGTCCAAAAGAGGAGTTAAAATCAAATGCTACTGTGAATTCAGGTTAAAAACTCATTTTACAAAAAAAAAAAAAGTTCAGCTTCTTGTTGTCGTAGACGGAAAAGCGAAACGAAAATGGCGACTGGTTGGGGAACGAAACAGACCCTTTAATCGGATTCAGCTGGAAGGGAGGATCTGAAAGGCATACTACGGGTATACTAATGTATCCGGAGCCATTTATCACCACTACAGCTGCAGGAGAAAAGGTCAGCTTGTTTAATGTGTATAATGATTATAAAGTTCCAAAACATAAGAATTTGCATGGCCACACTTGGACCTAATGTTTTCCTTCGACTCACTTTACGCGGTTATATGAATGATGGTCACTTCGAAAATCACTTGACCTTAAATTGGAAAAAGTTTAGAGCTCAATGAAGGGAAAATAATAATAAAAGATGAGGGCTCGTAAAACACTTTGGAGATAGAGGCTGTATGAGTGATTTTCCTATGTGAGTGGTTAAAATAATAATAGTAACAAACCGGGAACAAGTCATATACCGTCATTTGACTCCAATCTAGGTCACCCTGTACTATGGATACACACATATTGGTGCCACCAGTCTACCCTGCCTATTTCTGTCATAAAGCAGCCGATCTTTTTAGTTTTGTGGGTGGAGCAGCCGTTTAAAAATTTGACACTTAGAAGAATTCATATTCCAAGCTGGCTGCATCTTCCACCAATATAAGCAATTCAAAAGCCATTTTTATTTTATTTATTTTTTATTGCAATGTTGCGTGGACGAGCTCACGGCCCACCAGATGTTAGGTGGTCACCGAAGCCTATAGAGATCTACAACGTAAATACCGCCACCTACCTTGAGACATGAATTCTAACGTCTCAGTATAGTACAACGGCTATCCCACCTATCAAACTGAAACGCATTTCTGCTTCACGGAAAGCAGGGTGGTGATTGGTATCTATCCATGCTGAATCACAAGAGGTCCTACCACCAGTAATACATCAAGACAGGGAGCACACAAACCTGTTCATCACATGAATGTTTGCCCGGTGTGGCAATCCAACTCACGACCCTCAGTCCGGATGTAAAAGGCACTAGCTACAGCAGAACCGAGTCAGTCAATTTCAGCGGCTATAATTTTTAAACAGTCTGGAGCCATATACTCTCCTTTTTTACAATCTAGGTTTAAATTTAATTGATGGTATAGAGCGGTGTTTCCCAATAGGGGGCCCACGCCCCACAAAGGAGAAATTTGATAATTAAGGGGGGCAATCGTACTAAATTAATATGAAAATGTGTATTAAAATTATTTTGAATTAGAATTTTAGTTTTTTATTATACGTTTTGAAATATTACTTACTGTGTTTTGATAACAATTTCATAGTGATTTCTTCCCAAAAGCCCCCCATTTAAGTATCTTAAATGATCAAATCAATATTTTACTGTTTAAAAATTATCTATGGGGGCATAAAAAATTTAAAAATGTTACATCGGTGAATGGCACAAAAAAGGTTGGAAAACTCTGGTATAGAGTAATGTTTAGATTTGACTAAGAATTTTGACCTATTTACCTAAGATTTGAAAACTACATTTTTTTGTTTGACAGGTGGCAGTGCTGTTAATGGATACACAAGGCACCTTCGACTCCAGCAGCACAGTGCGAGATTGCTCCATAATATTTGCGCTCTCTACCTTAATATCGTCCGTTCAGATCTATAATCTCAAAGAGAATCTTCAAGAGGACGATCTTCAATACTTACAGGTAGATTTCAATACTCGGCTCATATCAAGTATTATTTTATTTTCTCAACGCAACAATTCAATTCAATGAATCGTTTCAGTTATTTACCGAGTACGGGAAACTACTTAAAAACGAAGACGGCTCCAAAGCGTTTCAGATGCTAATGTTCCTTATCAGAGATTGGCCTTACTATTATGAACATGCTTTCGGTGCCAAAGGAGGTGAAGAGCTATTAAAAAAGAGACTTGAAGTAAGTACAATAGAAGTTTAATGAATACTAGCTGGCCCGGCAAACGTTGTTTTGCCATATAAATTATTTCTAGGGAAGATAAATAACCTAGATACCAACTGCAGCGCCATCTGCCGGGCTGATTTGTAAATCTAAACCAATCTCGAATCCACCCGAAGGTACACAGAAACTTTCATTGAAATCGGTCCAGCCGCTTAGAAGGAGTTCAGTTGCAAACACACGCACAGAATATATATATATATATAAACGTTTGAAGCCACTGCTTCCCAATATATTATGTGTGTATATAAGAACGTAAAGGAAATATTTTTATATTTCCTGTTATAACGTGTCTGTGTCTGAGGATGCCCCTGGGTATGCCGATGTTACATGAGGCCCAGTCGCGTCACTCCCCAAAAGGTGGTCTATGGGTCTGGTAAATGGACTTTGGTAAATTAAAGAATATAATCACCTCGCAGCTCAAGAGATGTTACACGAAAGAGCTTTGACAAAGTGAACTTTTCCTTTTATATTATTAATGTGTCGTTTCTCGAAGATTCTGCATGTTAGTGATGTAAAGTAGTAGTTAGTAGTGCAAAGTCTGTCATTGAACAACATACAAAATTGCACAGTCACGACATGCAGTGTCGAGTATGCGAACTTTAAAATCAGATTCTCCACACTGCGCCACGTACAAACGCTAGATGGCGTTAATTTAAAAAAAATGAAATTAAACTTTCTGGCGTTACACTGTGTGTAAAAAATACAACACGGAATAGGGCTAGCGTAAAGTTTGAGTCTTAATTGAACAATTATCTTTTTAGATTACAGATAAAATGCCAAAAGAGCTATGTGACCTCCGGGAACATATTCGTTCTTGCTTCGATAAGGTTTCATGTTTCCTTATGCCTCACCCCGGTTTCAAAGTTTCGAATCCAAGCTACAACGGAAACTTTTCTGGTAAAATAAATTTATTTTATTATAAATTGCTAACATAATTCTGAATTAATTTGTAAAATAACAGCATCACAATATGTGTACTGGCACTTCAAACAAAAGGTAATAATCGTATTTTCTCATCGTCATTCCTTATTACTAGAATCCTTGTCCTTTGTTACGCTAACGAGCAGGATGATAGTACCTTTAGTTCGCTCACATAAAGCTTTACAACCAACAAATATTATGATTTACTGTTGGCAATTGGTAATGTTTCACATATTGAAAAGTCCACTTAATACGGTGAATACCTGGATGTCAATTCATCGCTAAGTTCATGTGTTCAACAACAAAATCTCCCTTATATCTTTACAACTACAATTTTTACGTAGTTGTAAAAGAAAAAAAAGTGCTTCCGTTAATTATGTGGAAAGATGTCGTAATTAATATATAAAAGAACGACATTGTAATTATCTAAAAGCCAGGAGACATCACGACACAAAAGAGAGTGACTGTAAAACATTATTGATTCCACAATGCAAGGATGCTTGGTTTTTAATCAACACAGCCAATCAATTCTTATTTCGTATGTGCTGTTACGATATCTGTAACACGAGGAAATCTTCACTCTAGCTTATTCAATGTTAAATGATCAACAACAAATTTAATTTTATGGTGAATAATTTAACTGTTATTATTTTTTGGAAACTCACCAATGAACGTTCACTGTGTTGTCCACAGAGCTTTCGACAGAATTCAGAAACGCTCTTAAAGAGCTTGTACCGTCTATATTTGCGCCTGAAAATTTGAATATAAAAAAGATAAATGGAGTTAAAGTAACATGCGCTGATATGTATACATATTTCCAAACTTATATGACTGCTTTCAACAGTGATTCTATGATAACTCCTAGCAGTATCTTCGAGGTAAGTGTGAATCTGAGCATCAAGACTGGAGGAGGCCTAACTTATGATAATGTCTAGCACATACGGCTAATATATTAAATAATGATTGCTCCTTTTTACTAAAAAAACATCACGAAATTTGAACATCAATCTCAGAGATTTTAAAATTACGATGGGCATGTTAATTACTAACGATCTGATGTCATAATGCACGACAGCTATCATACAATTCAAACCAAAACAAATCATTAATTCGCGGCAAAAATAAGAAGGATAATTCCAATACTTTACTGCTCGTAGCANTATTAAATAATGATTGCTCCTTTTTACTAAAAAAACATCACGAAATTTGAACATCAATCTCAGAGATTTTAAAATTACGATGGGCATGTTAATTACTAACGATCTGATGTCATAATGCACGACAGCTATCATACAATTCAAACCAAAACAAATCATTAATTCGCGGCAAAAATAAGAAGGATAATTCCAATACTTTACTGCTCGTAGCATCCACACCAGTAGAATCCACATCAGGATTTGAATCATGTCCGCCACTAGTTACTTAAAATAAGAAATAGCTAGTTGCGAATTACGGAGTAAGATATAAAAATAGTTTAAGTTACTGCTACTACCGACAAATTACCATGAAATGATTAGCAGGATGCGTCGGATTCTGAGAAGAAAGGCGAAAACTTAACTCCGCTGCCTATCTATAAATACTATCCTGCAAAAGACTGCAAAAGGTACATTTTGTCAGACTAGTCTCTCACCACGGCGCAAGTCCCGTGAAAATCTGATCCATAATGAAAAACATTATTGACATTACTCAACATCCTCAACCTGAAATATGTATCCAGGCCAGATCGCATCCTCGAAGTGATCCTGATAACATGGAACCTTAATAAAATATGTGATGTAACTGTCGCACCGCAACCTATTCACCCTATGCCCAAGAAGGATTACCGGTCCAAACCCACGCCACATGCCATACTAAATGCCATTTCCATCTATCATACTTCCATTTTTTTCCACACAGAAGAAGGCTGGATTGGACTTTCGATAATCTAGTTTTCGTGGATCGCTCGGAGATTCCAATTGAATCGCTCAGCTTACGAAGAGAGTTCGGTTCTTTCTGATTATTGTAACATGTACTCCTTGATGAATACTCTGATTTACTGTTTGAGATGTTCTCGTCATCTCGTTTTTACCGTCACACTGCCTGTCACAGTGTCAAAATTAATATAAACGTTCATTCATAGTACGTCTGCAGGCGTATTTTCTGCTCATGCACATGTACATAAGTCGTCGTGGCCTAAAGGATAAGACGTCCGGTGCATTCGTGTTGAACGATGCACCGGTATTTCGAATTCCAGGCGGGTACCAATTTTTCAAATGAAATACGTACTCAACAAATGTTCACGATTGACTTCCACGGTGAAGGAATAACATCGTGTAATAAAAATGAAACCCGCAAAATTATAATTTGCGTAATTACTGGTGGTAGGACCCCTTGTGAGTCCGTACGGGTAGGTACCACCACCCTCCCTATTTCTACCATGAAGCAGTAACGCGTTCCGGTTTGAAGGGTGGGGAAGCCGTTGTAATCTCAAGGTGGGTGGCGCATTTACGTTGTAGATGTCCATGGGTATGATAGGATGGTAATCACTTAACACCAGGTGGGCTGTGAGCTCGTCCAATCATCTAAGCAATAAAAAAAATGCTAACCGGCTTTGGAATGAACTTCTTATGTTTCCTGAATGCATCGTATTTTTTCAAACGAGGTTTGAGGGGGGTTTTGGTGGTAAGCAGCGACTAGGCAGCGCCCCTCTCATTGGTGCCGTTCATGAGTTACAGAGATCACTGACCATCTAGTGGATCGTGTGCTCATGTCTATGAATGCTATAAAATTATAAAAATAAGAGACAAGTAGCAACAATCAGTACATAGGTCAAGAAAGTCATGGTTCTGATAAGGTTCTTTATTATTTTAGAATACCAAGAGGGCGGCATTGATGGCAGCTATTCGGGAAGCTACCAGTAAGTACACGAAGATCATGGATGCTGCGTGCAATACCGACACGCCAAGTATGCCAGGTGAAGGAGTTCGTGTTACTCATAACCAAGCATTGGCTAAAGCAATCGAAGCGTTCAACAAAAAAGGGAAAATGGGCTCACAAAAAGAGATCGGTGCATACCTAACTCAATTAAAGCGTGTAAGTGTTTGGAACTTAACGATTATGAAAAAATTCATCCAATCGAAAACCGATAACTATGTAATATGTTCAATGTTACAAAATAAAGCCGTTGGTGTTTTCAGGATTTAGAAGATCAATTACCACGTTATGGCCTTATGAACGACGGCAAGTATCGGAAACTAGCATTCGAAGCAAAAGAAGTATTTGATAATACAGTCAAAGCAGTGCACGGTGAAAATTTATTTTGCTTGCATCCGAATGATGTAGAACCATTGTTCAATGAAGCCGTTTTAGCCGCTGCTACTTACTTTGATTCCAAAAGACAAAAAATTCCAAATGTCATTGATGAAGAAAAGATTAAATTCATCCAGGTCAGTACAATTCTATTCTATTTTATTGTTAAATTATTTAGAAAGTTATGTGCGGTTAACTTATAAGCAAAAAATACTTAAATGTCAAACTTATACGAGTAATTTTAGTTAATACATAATTATTATTATCTATAGATTGCTGCCATCTAACAGGAAGGTCATTTATGCCTTTGCGATAAAACTCTGGTGATCTAGATTCTACAAACTGTGTGAAAGTATTTTGCACTGCCTCCTCGGAAGAAAACTTTTTATCACGTAGAAAATTGTCCAAATCACAAAAAATGGTAATCCGTTGGAGCAAGGTCTGGCGAATACGGAGGGTGACAATTGGTTTCTAATTGCAGTTAAAACGGTTTTTCGTGGTGTATGAGGTCTCGCGTTATAATGGAGCAATAATGGTGAAGATCGATTCATGAGTAGGGGCTTTTTCACTGCATATTTTGCTATCATTGTTCACAGTTCGGCACAGTAGACATATGCCATTATTGCTTGGCTAGATAGGAAAAAGCTATAGTGAATAATACCATACTGAGACCACCAAATAGTTACCATTACCTTTTTATTGGTAAGCTTTGCAGTAATTACGCAAATTATAATTTTTGCGGGTCTGATTTTTATTACACGATATTATTCCTTCACCGTGGGAGTCAATCGTGAACATTTGTTGAGTACGTATTTCATTAGAAAAATTGGTACCCGCCTGAGATTCGAACACCGGTGCATCGCTCAACACGAATGCACCGCACGTCTTATCCTTTAGGCCACGACGACTTCTATCGTATCTTCTATCTTCGTATCAGACGTCAGACATGAAATTGTATCTTCATGTTTTTCTCGAACTTCAATATTAAATTGAGGATTATTAGGTATACATACTAACTTGTATTATACAATCGTGAGTCCTCACAGTGGCTCGTAGATGTTATCAATATTTTAGACGTCTATGTCAGCTGTAACCTAACGCCGAAAACTCTTTTCAAATTTATTTTGAAGAAAGATAGGTGATAGCATTCAGGAAGCACCGTGGAAGGGGAGTCTTTTGCAGAGCAGTATGGTACTTGGTATAAATAATCTCTCGAAGGGTACTGTATGTGATGAGTATAATATAGTCGTTTCAGTTCTGGAGATGATACGTGATTGCGGTTTGCTTCAAACGATATGCGAAAATTCCATAAATTTGAAATTTATTCCTTTTTTATTATTTTCACAGTATTTAGGCAAAGAACTGAAGTGTCTCCAAGCATTGAATCTACAAAACAACAGACACGTTATAACTGAACTCAAGATGAACTTCTCTAGTTTCATGGAAGGCTTAGTCAACAAGGAACCTCCATTAGATGACAACGAATATGAAGCCAAGTACCAAGAAAGCTACAGAAAAGCCATTGAGACATTCGACCAGCGACGAAATAGGCCTACAGAATTTCCAGAAGATGTATTCAAACTATCTCTGATGCAGGTAATTTGAAATCTAGAAACCCATACTTTAAGTCGAAGCCTAATTAACTGCAAGAAACAAAATGCAACTAGTATATTCGTGGTTCATAGAATTAAATTTATTATTATTTAAAGAAGGATATTTCGTATTCATGGCAGGAGGCAGGTAATAGGCGTAGTGATAAGTTATTACTTCTGTGAGCGAATTTAAAAATATACTTTTTTATTGTTCAGTTTAGCAATGTATTTTTAACTTGCAGCACATGGCAGCTCAATTTATTAACTTGCAAGCAATCAATAGAAGTAAAAATAGGAAACAATTCATGATGGCGTTGTCATTCTACACGAATCACATGAGTCTTTTCTGGGATCCCGATACATGCTGCTTACATCCAAACGACTTGGCAAACGAACATAAATTAGCATTAGAACAAGCGTTGAAACTATTTCACCCCGAATTGCCAGATGAGATGGAGAGAGAAATACTTAAACAGGTATTCATGTAATTAAAATTATTTTAAAATATATGTATTCTTTTCAAAACTTTAAAGAAATTAAACAATGATCTTTTTATAGTTCATCAAGTCGAAGTATGACGATCTACGCGAACTGAATGATGCTGCGAATGAAACAGCTATTGCTACAGCTGTTAACGTGTATGTAGAAAAAATGGAGAAAGCCACAGAATTTAAGGGCTGGTGGATCCCAACTTTGGGGATTCCGTATCTTGTCAACCTGGCTAATAGATCTTCCTATCACGAGGAAGCCAAGGAAGCTGCTCTTCTTAATTTCTACTCGAATCGTCGCGATCGCATGAACAGCGCTCCCGATAAATACTACAATGAACTTATTAAGGTAAAGCAGAATATTTTTGTTGGGATAGATAGATGTACAAATATGTACAATATCGACTTCATACTGAGCGACTTACAGACTGTTCACAGAATATTTTGCGCCACTGCACACAGACTGTTAACAGAAACTGTTTATTGCTGGTGGTAGGACCTCTTGTGAGTCCGCATGGGTACATACCATCACCCTGCCTATTTCTGCCGTGAAGCAGTAATGCGTTTCGGTTTGAAGGGTGGGGCAGCCGTTGTAACTATACTTGAGACCTTAGAACTAATATCTCAAAGTGGGTGGCGCATTTACGTCGTAGATGTATGTCTATGGGCTCCAGTAACCACTTAACACCAGGTGGGCTGTGAGTTCGTTCATCCATCTAAACATTAAAAAAAAAAAAAAAAAAACTAAATGATTCACCGCAGGCAGCTGTCTACTTTATATATACGTACCTTAAAAATATCGTTTGAATTTGACCGTGGGATAAAATTGAGGGAACACGGGACGACGATTATTTTAGAAATTAAATAGTACAAATAAACAAAGTAGTTGAAGTTTAAAACATAACGAAACAAACCCTATAAATAATGGGTATCCTTACCACACCTCATACCGAAAGACTGATAGGTTCGTAACATATACATACGATTATATTGAAATTAATCTGTTTATTAACTTACGCAGGAGATCAACTACGCTCGGATGAAATATTAAGATCTTCTTGCGAACCGGCTTCCAGTAATGACAACTTCTTCTTCATCTATATTTTAATTTTTGAATTAATAAAATCAATCGTGAAATGAATCGAATCTTTTATTTGGGTTTATGCACTGACTGCTGTATTTTATTTTGTCTTTAACTGTTAAGACTATGAAAATTACCATTTTTGATAGCAAACAGTGATTCCATTTCAACCGATTAAAAAAACAATTGCTTAACCATTGTTACTTTAGATAACTCACATAATATTGTTACACACACAAACAGTTAGTCTATTGTATGAAGTCGTCGCGGCCTAAAGGATAAGACATCCGGTGCATTCGTATCTAGCGATGCACCAATGTTCGAATCCGGCGGGCGGGTACGAATTTTTCTAATCAAATACGTACATAACAAATGTTCACGATTGACTTCCACGGTGAAGGAGTAACATCGTGTAGTAAAAATCAAACCCGCAATATTTTAATTTGCGTAATTACTGGTGGTAGGATGTCTTGTGAGTCGGCAGGGGTGGGTACCACCGTTCTGCCACAAATTACGACTGACTCGGTGGAGTAGAAGTTAACGCCTGTGATTGCCCGCATAACGGCCATGGGCTCTATTCCCATTCCAGAAAATATTTGCATGACATATATACGTTTACTGGAACGTATAATTCCCGAAAAAATCCTCCAGATTACAAGGTCGCGATGAACAATCACATGCCAAAAATCTATATTGACATACATTTGAATAGTTGATTTAACAACAACACACGATTTAGACACAACACTTTGGAACGATTTGGAAATAGCTTCCGGCTAATTTAATGAAATTATTATCAAATCTTCGGGTGCGTTCTAGGAAATATTAAAAAAAAAAAACAATTTTTAAAATAACCAAGGAACAGCAAAATCAATTTTCCCATTAAACCTTTGTTTGTTTTGTAAGGCGGACTGCCGGTTTTGTTTGAATTCAATTAAAATTTGATCCGGATTGATGCTTTGGTACAATACATTCTACGAGCTCTCGGACTATCTGGTATTAAGAGCTTACTGGCCACCACAGAAAAGACAACGTAAATGCCACCAAGCATGTGGGAACTCTAAATTCAAAACTCGAATGTATTTAACATACATAACAATTTTGTCCCATTCGGTGTCGAGACCCTAGGTCCGTGGGATCCTAGCGTTATATGGCTTTTTAAGGAAATAACAAACAGGTTAGTCGACACCACAGGAGACCGAAGAGCTGGCAGCTACCTTGGACAAAGAATTAGTCTAGCTATTCAAAGGGGGAACGCTGCCAGTATATTCGGAACATTGCCTAAAGGGACTCCTTTTAGTTATTAAATTATTATTTTTATTATTTATTATTATTAATTTAGTTTTTATGTATTACATAATTATTCATATATGTTATACAAGTGACATAAATGGTATTTTGAATATTGAATTAGAAATATTAAAACATTTTTTGGATATTCAAATTTAACATACTGCTTTGCGAAAAAATACAAGTTGTTAATTTAGTTGGCACTTTGTAGATTTGATATTGGCACTTCAGAAAGGTTATTTTTTTTACTGTTATGCGATTATGGGTGGCGCAGGAATTTGATACGTAGTTTCCGCACCTACTTTATGATGATGTAGTGAAATTATAATATTTTTCTTAATAAAAAATATATGCCAAAGTCATGTTCAATTCCTAAAGTTATTGCAATCGAAGCATTTATAACTGCGCATTGATTCTCAATTATATTTCAATCTCGTCTTTACACAAGAGAGCCGATGTTCGATATAACGAAAGACTAATTTCTTCGCGTGCTTTATTAATATTCCTCTCCTTTTTTCTCGTCTTGACAATTTTCGTAAATCGAATGTCGATGAAAATAATGTCTTCCACGTGTTTCCGTTTTCAGTGAAATAGGTTTCGACAATGGGGTTGTGTTGTGATGTGTATTGTGTTATCGAAATCTCATTTGCATTGCTCAGATGATGCTAAGCTCGTACTAGATATGAACTCTAAATTTGCTACTTATTCTTTCAGTACTCTTAAGTAATTAGAAAAATTGCAGTTTTCTTCTTAGCTACTATCCCAATTAAGTCTAGCCTCCCAATTAAGTCCTGCCCCTAATCTGCTTTTAACGTTACCGTATGCGTTCGCAGCTTATGTGGTGATGACAGCAAACCTAGAATACTACCAATAAGCTCAAAAGTGACGTAAAAGGCGTATAACTGATGTCCCTGAGAATGGGTAGCAGCATTCACTTAGCGTTCTTACATTAGGTGGCCCACAAAAACATATAAAGCTTAAAGAAAAACAAAAAACAAAACTCATCTATACTACTAATATTATAAAGCTAAAGAGTTTGTTTGTTTGGTTGAACACTCTAATCTTAGGAACTACTGGTCCGATTTGAAAAGTTATTTCAGTGTTAGATAGCCCATTTATTGAGGAAGGCTATAGGCTATAAATTGTCCCGCTAAGGCCATTACTAGTGGAGCACTAATAAATAATGTTTCAAAATCAGGGTTTTTTCCCTTTTGAGAGTTTCCGCTGCGTGCGATGCGGAAATGGTTATAGTTTCGCTAAAATAATGTATGAAAGAACTATTCCCGTTTAAAAGTTCTGAAAAACAGTCCACGACAGCATTTGTCTATATTTTAAGGTTGGCTGACGATAACTTTTTTAAGCTAACCAAATTTGTTTTAAATAAAACATTATTTGTGAAGGTGTTTATATATAGATGATATTAATCCTTATCCAAATAAATATATTATTCATTACAAGTATTTCATTTCAAAGAAATTTGTCCTTCACATAATTAGATACCTATGAGTATCTTAGAAGATATCGCAGTTTGACCATCTGCATAAATGAAGTCGCGAGTAAAATTAAGCGTTATCCCAAAGTAACTAGTCCACGCGGATGATTGCTCACTTTTTTTTTGTCAGGAGGAAATCACCGGACTTCCGCCCTCGACTGGGGATGGAGGGCGAGGCATGTCGGAGTTGAACCGACTAAAACCTCCTGTCGCTCAACAACCAGCATCCAAACCTCTCATGAGACAGAACTCATGAAAAGGCAAATGGAGGAAAGTGAAGCGTTTAGTGCGAAGCACATCTCTCCCATCACCCTCCCCCTCGGGACGCCAACCGGCGGTCGTCGGCGCCACGACCACCAGCCCTCTCAGTCGGCAGGCTATCCGAAGCCCATACCCCCTAGATCAGTCTTTCTCAAAGTGGGCGATAACGCCCCCTTGGGGGCGTTTGAAACCTAGAGGGGGGCGTTAAGGAGCCCAGGAAAAAATGGGGGGCGTTGATGTGGGTTAGGGGGGCACTGTAAAATTTGTAATTTCATTTACATAGTATTTTAAATTTCACTAAAATGAAAACTCACCTACTACACAATAACGAATAATTAGTATATATTTCTATCCTGTATGATGTTATAAAAACTTAAAATAATTAACATAGATTTCGTAGGATAGTCCACACACCGTACGCAATCAAGTTGTAACAAGTTTCTGCGGAACATGATCGATGATAGTTAAAAAATTAGAGCAATTTTACCTTAATTACATTGCACCAGAAATTATTTTAAACATTAGAAAAAAAACTACCATGCAGAGTTTTAATTTTTATAAGAAATCACTAATGTAAGAATCATAATTTTTATATAAAATGGAAATGCGTATATAATTATTGTTCAAAAACTTGTCTTAGATTATTATTTTTTACAATTTACCCATTACCGTCCAATATCAAATAGTATAGTAAGCCTAAACAGCTTACTTATTGTAAACATTGTTTATTTTATTTCTATATAATAATAGGTTAGGGAAAAAGTTTCTTCGTCTTTTTTATGAAAATTCACAACATTTTTTAATATAGTTTATTCACATTTAAATAAAGTATGTAGGTACCATTTTGTTCGATAACTTCTTGCCATCTTGTAGGTAAGGACATGATCCCATTGCTATAGAAATTTTGGGGCTTCTGATCAAAATACCGTGACAATTGGTTTTGGCAGTCCTCTCGTGATGATAACCTGACACTGCCTAAAGAATTCTGAAGAGACCGAAACAGGTAGAAATCTGAAGGTGGAAGGTCAGGACTATACGGAGGATGCATTAACACATCCCAGCCAAGCTCTCTTAATTTTTGCTGAGTGGCTAAAAATGTGTGAGGTCTAGCGTTATCTTGATGAAAAACCACACCCCTTCTGTTGATTAATTCCGGCCGCTTTCTCTCAACTTCTTGCTTTAATCTCATCAGTTGTTCGCAGTAGAGTTCAGAATCAATGGTCCTGCCTGGTGGTAACAGCTCATAATGTATAATGCCCTTCCAATCCCACCACACACACAGCATCACCTTGTTGCGAGTTTACCCGGGTTTCGCCAGAGTCTGTGAAGTCTGACCGGCCTTTGACCACAACCTTTCTCGTACGTTCTTGTCGTACGTGATCCACTTTTCATCACCAGTTATCAGCTTCTTCAAAAATGGTTCGGTTTCATTGCGGTTCGGTTTCGTTACGTCGTAATAAAGAATCACAAATCAACGGTTCATTAGATTTCTTTCAAGTGAGCTTTTTTGTGTACCCAGTTTTTTTCAAATGCGCCATAACTATTTTGTGGTCAATTCCCAGTTCTTCAGTTACGTCGTAACTACTGATATGCCGATAATGCCCCACTTTTTAAAAAATGGCATCGATTTTATCTGTAATAGGGCGACCAGAGCAACGTGAATTTTTGACATCAAAATTTCCGGATTGAAAACGCTTAAACCAAATTTGTGCTACTCTCACAGACACTGCACTAGGTCCATAAACATCGCAATTTTTTTTCACAGCTTGCGTTGCTTTTTTACCTTTTTTGTAGTAAAATTTTAAAATGTATCGAATATCTTCTTTAGATTCACTCATCTTGACAGTACAAAAAATAAATAAAAATCACACATCTTCCTAATTTTAATTTGGAATTATCTTGTTTCGAATTCAAACTTTTAATGATA